AACCCACCTAAAGTCCGGTGACAGCTTCTGGTTGCCTGACCACAACATTATCCGGCTTGATCGCACCAGCTCCAGGGGGGGGTGGTGTAGCGGTCATCGTCAGAAAGGGAATCAAGTTTTGCACTCTGCCCCACATCCGCACTTCTATCATCGAGGCCATTAGTGTGGAGGTGGAATCACCAACTGGAAACGTCCGGTTTGTCGCTGTTTACTGCCCACGCCAGTGCACCACCAGCAATGGTCTAGGAACTCAATTCAAGAACGACCTGACCGCCATCACCCGTACTAGCTCCCGATTCATCGTTGGGGGCGACCTGAACGCCCGCCATGAAGCTTGGCGGAACTACCAGCGGAACCGGAATGGATGTCTATTGTTCGACCACGCACAACATGGACTGTACACTGTGCAGTTTCCAGACGAACCAACTTTTATCTCTCCGGCAGGAAATCCGTCCACCCTGGACTTTTTCCTGTCAAACATCGTACTATCCAAGCCGGAGGCGCACAACGATCTCAGCTCCGACCACCAACCGGTGGTGACTGAAGTCGGTGTCAACGTGGTTCCTGCTAGAAGCTGCCTGCGTAAAGACTACCATCATGTTAACTGGGTGCAGTACGGACAAATGGTGGACAGCAACATCGATGAAAATCCACTGCTCGACACTGTAGATGACATCGACCGGGCGTTGGAAGGACTCCAACAGGCCATATCCGTGGCTGACAAGGCGTGTGTCCGACAAGTTCCTGTGAGGGGTAAGTTCGTTGCTATTGATTCCCACACCCAATTACTTATTCGGTTGAGAAATGTTCGTAGACGCCAGTTTCAGAGGACTGCCCAACAAACAATTTGTGCTGATTAAAAGCTGAATAAGCAATCTTTTAGCTGAAGAAGCATATTTTTGACTGAATAAGCTCTTATTCTACTTCGAATGTTTGTTGGGTGGACATCTGGGCAAAAAACGTGAAATGGCCGATCTGAACAGGCAGATTGCTTCCAGAATGGACTCACTCCGAAATGAAAGTTTCGGGCGTGTTGTTCAGAATCTGGACGACCGCTCCAGACCATTCTGGAAGGTAGCCAAGGTCCTGAAAACTCATCCCAAACCCATTCCACCTCTCAAAGTCGAAAATGATGACGATCGGCTTTTAATCACCCCACAGGAGAAAGCAAATGCGATCGGCGAGCATGTAGCTTCATCGCATTTGCTTGGCTCGACTATCCAAAGTCCGCTCGATGATCAGGTTGCGCAATGCGTTCAAAACCTAGATGTCTCCCCTTGTATCGGGCCTCCGGCGGATATGATTACTGTACAACATATTTGCTCAGCGCTGAAATGCACCAAGAACATGAAGGCTCCCGGGTTTGACAGTATATTTAACTTGATCTTGAAGAGACTCAGCAGTCTCTTCTAACCGCTATCTTCAACAGATGTTTGGAACTGCACTACTTTCCAAGCATCTGGAAAATAGCAAAAATCATACCAATCCGCAAACCCGGTAAGGATCCAACATTGTCTTCAAGCTACAGACCAATCAGCCTCCTTTCAGCGCTTGTTCGAGAAACTCATTCTCAATCGTTTGCTCAAGTTTGTCGAGGAAAATAACATTCTCCTTCCGGAACAGTTTGGGTTCAGAAAGGGGCACTCCACCAATCATCATCTAGTACGGGTGATGAATAACATCCAAAGTAACAAAGCTGTATCAAAGTCCACAGCCATGGCCTTGTTAGACGTTGAAAAGGCGTTTGACAATGTTCGGCATGACGGACTTGTGTACAAGCTTTGTAACTTCAACTTTCCATTACATCTGGTTAAAATCACCCGTAACTACCTTCAGCAAAGGTCGTTTAAGGTATCGTTGAATGGTTGTCTTTCAGACACGTTTTCCATCCCAGCAGGAGTCCCGCAAGGCAGTCTGCTGGGCCTCTTGCTTTACAGCATTTACACTTCCGACATTCCTCCCCTCGGAGACGGTTGCATGTTTTTCCTGTTCGCAGATGATACCGCAATAGCCGTCAAAGGAAGGATGCCTCGCGAAATAACGAACAAACTTCAACGATGCCTTAACGCTTTTGCTGATTATACCACCACGTGGAAAATCAAAATCAATGCCTCCAAAACACAAGCGATCATGTTCCTCCATCGGCAATCGCCCAAACTAAACCCAGCTCCATCTTGTACTGTAATCATGGATGGCACAAGGGTTGAGTGGTCTGCCGAAGTAACCTATCTCGGGATGTTGTTCGATGAAAAGCTCCTCTTCCGCTCGCATGTGGAGAAAACCGTAGTCAAGTGTTCCGCCTTGGTTAGGAGTCTGTATCCGCTGATTTGCCGCAGATCCCGCCTCTCAAGGGTGAACAAACTGGCCGTCTACAAACAAATCATAGCACCTGCGATCCTCTAAGCAGCTCCGGTGTGGGAATCATGTGCACAGACTCACAGGAACAAAATCCAGGTCGCTCAGAATAGAGTGCTGAGGATGGTACTTGATCGTCCTTTTGACACTAGAATAACAAATTTACACGAAGAGGCAGGCATTGCAAAAATAGATTTCAGAATTAACGAAATTAAGACTAAATTTGCACAAAAATGTAATTGATCAGAACGCTTTGATAAGCAATTTGTATATAGTAGATTAGGTGTATATAGTAGTTGTAGGTTAGTTGTAGTTGTAAATAGTAGTTATAAGTAGTCTCCTTTTTCAAATTTTAAAACAAACCAATCCCACCAAGGTGGTCATTCTCTAAAACAGGCCTGATAGGACTAGGAACTGTAATTAATAATAATTGAAATTTCACAGGAACTAAAGTTGAAAAGACCCATCTGTGTCACTTGATAAGTTATACATGTAAACCATACAAATTCAAGAAATATTTAAAGTCAAAGTCTGTCGCAGATACCAGTTCAACCCCTGTCCAGCGGCAGACGGGCCGAGACTCTTGCGAGTGCCCAATCATTGAGCCAAAGAATATGGGATTGTCCGGTCCGATTTGCTCATCCAGCTGCCTACACGTCATCATTATCTTCCAAAGGCTTTAAGCCTGTACTACTTTCGACCCTCGGGCTTACACCTTTCGGCCACTGAGAAGCTGTTTCGAAGCCAAGTAGCCTGACTATTGGCCATGAAAAGACTTACCAATGCTTTTCAAAAATAGACTACATACATCCGAACATTTGCTTATCTCATATCGAAGAAACACATTCCGCGCAACTACCATAAACCGGACTAATGCATGTTGATCTTCGTCAAGCTTCGTATACAATTTGGACTTCTTCATGAACACATGTCAGGCAGCCTTCAGGATTAATAGACTAAACTTGGTGAGTTCGTTCCGTTGTGTAAATTTGTATCTTTTCAAACCAGAATCGTTGGGAGATCACCTTTTTGTGGTGCGTTACTGGTATAAGATCTACCACCGAACTTTAAACTAGGGTGTCAGGATTTTCCAGTTATCAAAGGATCACATTTTAGTCCTTGTTACTTTTTATAACTTGATAATAGTGACAATACTCGGGGGGCGCCGTTATGCATTTCTATATTGTATATTTCAAATAAAAAATATTGTTTATGTTCATAGATTTCACATAATCCTTTTCGCTCTGTCCTTCTCTTTTTCCTTGCCCTCTTCTATTTTCAGAAAGCGAGTAATGGCGCTATAGCCATAAGTCATAAAAGGCTAGGACAAGAGTTAGTGCTCATGCCCTAACCGTCAGAAGAAAATGGAGCATCACTTAACCTTTCTAGCTTTGATGCTTCCAACGACCAATCAATCATATAATTACCAAAATCGGAACGTACGGTACGAGATGTCCACGTTTCATCCGATGTTTTCTGAATCATCTTGCCCCTTAAATGCTGCACAGTAGGCCTGGCCGTTTTGATGTGTGTGACGCATCTTTGATGTGAAACATATATCAAATATACAAGAAAAATGATGTAGGTATATGTATAACTTTCCAGGATGCTTTCAAGAACTTGCTGTGTTGGTGTTAGATTAGATGACCACCTTGGTGGGATTGATTTGTGTAAAATTGAAAAAAAAAACACATATTGATCCACCGGGCAGATGAATAGAACCTTTGTTATACAGAATAATCTCTTTTTTGATATTATTTCTTGATAGAAGATGCCTTAATAGTTGTTTTTCTTTTTATTGGTCTCAGTTTCTACATAGCCCAATTGAACACCAAATCCACATACGACACAATCGATCGAGATCATCTATGGCAGATTATGCACGAATACGCTCCCAGAAAGTTGTCCATATTTTCAGAATGTAAACTTTCCTTATGTTCCCGTTTCAATATCTTGAACTTGAAAATGGAATACGATCTAAGACTTACTAAAATTAAGTAAGTTTTAAACTTCAACGTTTAATGCAGATTATTGTAAAGCTGTTTTTTTTTAAACTGATTGTCACGTTTAAAAAATAGCTTTCTTATTATAAACATCAAAATTATCCGTTAAAATTCTGGAAAACCTGGAAAATTCAGGAAATTTTATTTGGCCAAATTAGTCGATAGAGAAAGATGATTAAACGTCAAAACACAACACCTTCAAATTTTTCGAAAAATATAACAACAAGTGGGCATGGATTGGACAATCAGATCCAAGAAGAATAATCTATCTTGAAATAAATTCACGTAAACAAAGTTGAAAATAGCGACTGATTACATGAAAAAGTGACTTTAGTGACTTAGCCTTTAAAAAGGAGACTTTTTAGTTTTTTTTTTTTTTTTTTTTTTCTTTATTTTAGAGATTTTTAGCCTGAGGCTAGTTCATCTCTTAAGAGAGACTTTTTAGTGACTGGCTTGAAAAAAGTGACCAAGTCACTAAAAAGTGACTCACTACCAGCCCTGCAACTGTGAAAGTGCACAAAGAACACTATGTTCAAGATAAGTGTTCAGCGTCAGTTAAGAGCTGTTGCAACATTATAGCCTAAGAAACGAAAAATGACATTTTCCTATTTAAATCAGAACCCAAATTCGATATGCACTCACCGATGAAAACTCCATCACTTTCAGTATCCACAGCGTCAGCGCCAGATTGATGATGATCATAATCATCAGGATCAGTATCACTGAGTAAAGGCATTTCTTGCGCCATCCATACAAGGTCAACTGCACCCCTGCCGCGTCACTACTCGGTGTCACCGCACCATGCTGAGGCACTGTGGTCACCAGAGCAGCATTTCTCCCTCCCCCACTGTCACCACCGTAACTGTTCACAACATTTCCGCTGTGATGCACATTGTTACCGGCACTAGTACTACTATGAACAAAATTATTATTCGCACTACTATTCGGAATGGCATTACCGCCCAGTGCACTACTTCCACTGTTTCTGTTTGCAGGCATTTGAGTTTCCACCGGCTGATGGGTGCCACTACCAGGCGCCGTAGAGCTGGGCGTCGTCGTAGCGGTACTACTCGTCGGAGAAGGCCGGAAAGCAATCTTCAAACTGTTTGCCGTCACGTCCGGTTCCGTGAATAGTTTATTCCCAGGAGCTCCAAAATTGGCACTAGTACTTCCGATAATCCGAGGCGGTTGCGAAGGGTACAGCAACGAAGCTGCACCCAGAGAAGACGTAACGGGTTTACTGCTTCCTATGCCAGACAGCGTAGATGTGTTGGGACCGTATAACGGCCGTTTGAACATTCTTCCCTTATCCAAGCTGGAAGAGTTGGAGGTACCTGACCCCTCGGGTTCCACCGTCTGGCGTTGCAGTGGTTCCGTTTCGGACCTGGTATTACTGTCTTGTGGCGGTGGATTGAAAAATACAGATCGGGGGCCATCTCTGAAAACGGGAGAAAATAGAACCAGATTAGGAATTTTGCTTTCGGCTTATTGGTAAAGTTCATTTAGTATTCCATCAATCTTCTTCGAGCGTCGTATATTTCCCTATGCTCATAAATTCAAATCAATCTGTCCCACGGGAGGTTGCAAGCCACAATGCTGAGTGCTGAAAACCAAGAGTGCAATTTGTCATAGAATCATCATTATCACCATACTCGCACGCTTGTGCAGCCACACATTTCCACAGTCGGAGTCGGTGATCATCGTCAGCTGGTTGCACTCCCCGCACGCTCTTGCCATCTTATGGGCCGTGTAACGACGCTGATGATGGACTTTTAGACTGACAGGAAAACGGCAGCATTTGGCATCGCATCCACTAAACTCATTACTGCTGCCCAGACTTCCGCCAAAACCGGAGCTCATTTCGAAAACATTCATTACTCATCCCTTTGGTAATGGTAATAACAACAGTACCCGAGCAGGAACGAATATCTCGATATGTTAAATTGGTATGGATTAGTCTGACATAAGAGGTAAGGTATTCTTTTGGTATCCAAATGTTATTTTTTGCTATTTATTTGTATTATTCTTTGGTATTTTTCCTCTTATGTCAGGCTGATCAACACCAAAGATTGTTATCAGAATCAGAATTAGGTATTAATAAATTATTTTCTCCTACTCGGGTATGTAGACTTACCACACGCACAGGGTTGAATCAGCTCCGATAATTAAACTTTTTAATAACATCGTGCAATTTACCGTTTACAACTCAACATCAATTCAATTCCTGTTTTCAAACAAATTAAATCAAACAACAGTCCAGCGTAAACATTCAAAAATTCCTTCCTGGAAGCGGGGCCTTCGCCACACTTTCCCCAGGGTTCGAGTCAATCATTTCATCGCACTCTCGTCCGATGCGTCGTTGTTGTAGTGTTGTTGCTACAACAAATCCCAGTGCAAATAAGCGTGTGTTTACGCTTGATGAAGAAGCAGAGCAGGCGGAGAACAAATGCCTTTCGGGTGCCGTTGGTCAGTCGGCCAAGTTGACCAGTTGAACGAACGGGGCGGGAACGGAAGTTGTGGAAGTTGCGGGTTTACGCCGCCCGTCGTGAGATACTGTATAGGGGTGATGCATATATTATGTCATGCTCTAAAGATATACGATTCTGTGACAAGTAATGTATTAGGTATAGGATACACGTGACGAAAGGAGGGAGGATAATGTTTCAAAAAAATTCGCGGATCGTAATTAATGCATGGCCCCATACAGACACATTTATGAGTGTATTAGGTACATACTGTAGTATCGAATAGTGATTAGGAAGCAGGGGAAGTGTAGCAGAGCAAATATACACAAAATTGTAAAATTATGTTTGGATACAAAACCCAGCTGTTGTCGAGATGGTTTGCGAGTACATCTCCCGAGGTTGGATTGCTACTTATTTGGTGAAACTGTTGATGGCTTTATAGACCTGGGGGTCTGCTAATCTTGGTTCGGAAATCATGCATTACTTTTGAACCATTTATCATAGACGATTCTGAAATTTTACGAAATGTACAACATATTTTTCAACCATGCAAATATAACTACCTAAGCTTTGATATTTATTTAATTACGCCGGGACAAATCATAATTTTTACGGATCGGATAGCGTATCCAATATCTTCACGCAGCACTGTACACCATCCATCGTAGCCTAAATCAATTTCGTCAGTTTTCCGGGAAAACCGTTGTCGTCCATAATAGTAAATGTTCACAGTGTATAGTATCGTTAGTGACTTTAAAATCTATGAATAGGTGGTGTGTAGGAACTTGGTATTCGCTACACTTTCGGAGAATCTGCCGCAACGTGAAGATTTGGTCTGTTGTCGATCGCCCGTCCACAAAACCGGCTTGATAACTTCCCACAAATCTGCTTGTTAGCGGCGATAGACGGCGGAAGATACAACTTCTGCAAACCTCTTCGCTGATTTCTTCCGAAGCGTTTTTGAACTCGATCAAACTCCTCCGCAGCAGTAGTACATCGACCAGTTACCGAACTACAACATTCGTCAACAGCAGCTTAACTTCAGCCATGACGCTCTTTGTAAAGCCCTTTGCTCGGTGGATGCATCGAAAGGCCCAGGTCCGGATCGCATTCCATCGTCATTAATCAAAAAATGTGCAGCATCGTTGGTCACACCCGTTATGTCTATCTTCAATCTAAAAAATTCCAAAATTTTAAATGGCTTGCGTCCCTGATAAAAACGTTCGGGAAAAAATAAAGAAAAGCTTATATCTGACATGGCTTGCACCCATAGTAAGCATGTTGAGAATGATTAAAATCATTTTATTTGAAAAGGCTAGCGCTCTGATACACACGTTCAGAGAAAAATATATAAAAAATGAAAAATATTTTTTTTTAAATGACTTGTGCACCTGATATGCATGATCAGGAAAAAGTTAAAAAGTAATTTTTAATTGGAAATGGCTTGCGCCCTAGATAGACAACGTCAGGAAAATTTGAAAAATATGTAAAATTTGAAATGGCTTGCGCCCCTGGTAAACAAGTTTACGGACAAATTGAAAACAAAGGTTAAATTTAAAATATGTTGCATTCATGGCAAACATTATCGAGGAATAATTGATAAATAATGTTAAATTATAAATGGCTTGCGCCCCTGAAAATTTGATCTCAGAAAAATTAAAAAAAAATGTAAAATGCTAGCCCCCCAGGTAAACATGTGGAGGAAAACAATACCGTGGACCCCTGCTAATCTGAACGACACCTCATTCATATTAACGGGGTTCATTTTTAATTTGAACTTCTAGTAACCCTATCAGCGTGTTTCTGGTTGCCTTATTTGCTGTTTTGTTATGATTCTGCGTTCCGTTTTGCAATGTTCCATTTCGCTTTACTTCGTTCCATGTGCAAAATGACGTTTAGGCAATTTTTAGTTTGCAAGCCGTGCAGATAAGCGGGGTTCAAATTAAAAAGTGTTCAGATTAAAACCGGTCATATTACCGGGGGTCCACGGTATTAAATTTGCAATCAGGGTTCTGCATTTTCGAAACAAAGAAAAGAAAATGAACTCTCGACAGAATCGCTTCATTTCGAGAAATCATTGTTTTCCTGGTTCCCAATCACGATGAACATTCGCCCTGTTGAACATGACTTGACTATCGCTTGTTTCGTTGATCCAGTGCATTAGTTCACTTCATTTGAAGCAAAGACTTGTTCCAATTGACGCAATGAATAACTCGAAAATTGTTTCCTTCGTTTTTTTTTTCAGTTTCACTTCAATTCGGGGTCCATTCGACTTGTCACGCGTCGCGTCGTTAGGCATCAAAATATAGTATCCGGATAGTATCCGCACAGTATCGGTTGCCAATAGGGATGGCATCCGGATTATATGCAGTAAATAAATATGATTTTATATTAAACCACAGACAAACAGACATAACTCTTTGAATAAGTTTTTCTTAAAAACAGTGTACCTCTATAAAAAAAACCTTAACATCAGTAACGACATATCTCAAGCTTCTCGCGGAGATATCCCACTATTTCTGAAACCAGAAGTTGCCATATTGGATTTAGAGATGGCGTCTGACATCGATTTTCGGCATCTACGTGTCATTCCGTTCTGAAAATACCCAAATTTTAGGGTATTTGAAACATTTCCTCAAATCGGAAGCTGCCGTCTTGGATTTCAACTTCCCACTTTTTCTCATTGGATTTCAAATGACGTCGGTCATCGATTTCTGGCCTCTAGACGTCACCCTGATTCCAAAAATACCCATATTGATAGGCAAACAACAATGATAAATTTGACATCCACGTGCACAGATCTTTGCGCATACGCTTAAATGAACCAAGTGAACAATCAACAAAAGTCAGAAAAACTGAGCGAATTGATATCGAACAGCTTCGCATCAATGCGACAATGACAATAAAAAACAAAATGAACACGAGTCAAGCCAAAACAAACAGCATGAAAACTGATCGAAAGAGGTACTTTTGATGTTGAAGGGGATCTGCTCGAAGAGAAGACAGAATGACTTTCAATTGAAAGTGATGGTTGACAGCTTCGGCGTCGCTTGACGATTTTCGATTGAAAGTGACTTTGTTGGACCCTGCCTGCAATGAATTGCGCCCATAGTAAACCTTTTTATTTTAAAATTGATAAAAATCTTTGAATTCGAAGTGGTTTGCCCGTGATATAAACGCGCCCCTAATAAAAAATGTCAGGGAAAAAATGATTAAAAACGTAAAATTTGGAATCGCCAGCACCACTGATAACTGATGGGTAGGGCAAGAATGACAACTGAAAATCTCTTGAGGCAAATTACTTCTCAACCAGGACGCAACGTAGAAAGCATTTTGGGAGTCCCCAGTTCCTCTAAATCAGTCGCGCCTATTGCAGCCAGCGTTCATCCAAGTCGTCCTGGCCCTGAGTTTAGATGTGGATTGAGGGTCTCCCAGCTTGGTATATTAGGCAAGTACACACTTACTAGCGAACTTTCACTGCCTGATGATGATCATAATTCCAGTGCCTTCAACTCACCTCAAACATCTGCCAGTCGGCAACATGGAGCCACCACAGTCAACTGCACTCCGGGACGCATTCTTGCCGTCCGCCCTGAGGAAGCCCCTATTCCACTCATCGCAGTCGAGCCCCTCCTGCCAGCAACCAGCAGTCGTCCCGGCCCTGCGTTTGAGATGGGAGAAGGGGTCTTCCACATTCCTGTTATTGGCAAGTATGATCAACCGACGAATATATTATCGCCTGAAAATATCTTGGTTTCCAGCGACCCTACTCGAACATCCTTCCTCCGTCAAGTGACATCTACCAGCTCCCAAATGCAACTACACGCTGAACCTTCCGTTGTTCCCGAACAGCGGAGGTCGGACATAACGATTTACTATCAGAACGTTGGTGGTATGAACGGCCTCGTGGAAGATTATCATCTGGCCGTCATGGATCACTGCTACGACATTTTAGTTTTGACCGAAACATGGC